TACTAGGATTATACCAATGTGCTGCCACAGCAGGCCTTTCATACTATCTTTTTAAAAAAAAAAAAAAAAATCAGGGGTGGTGGGGGATAGCTCATTTGCCAAAGTGTTTGCCTCACAAGAATGAGGACCTAAGTTTGATTCCCAAAAATCATGTAAAAATGTTGGGTGTGGCTCAGTGGTTAAGAGTACTGGCTATTCTTGCAGAGGACCTGGATTTGAATCCCAGCACCCACATAGCAGCTTACAATTGTCTGTAACTCCAGTTCTAGGAGATCTGACATCCTATTCTAGCTTCCTCAGGTACTGCATGACACGGATACACTTATATATATGCAGGCATAACACACATACACATAAAATGAAAATAAATTTTATTTTAAACAGTTAAAAAAATGCTGGGAGTGCTAGTGCATACATCTAATTTCAGCACTGGGGAAGTGAAGATAGGAGGATCACTAGAGCTCACTAGCCTAGTTAGTGAGCTCCAAGTCAATGAGAGAGACCCTGTCTCTAAGGAGGTGGATGGTATTCCTGTGGATGACAACGAAGGTTGTCCTCTGGTCTCCACGTGCACACTCACACTCCCCCCCCCCCCCAAGAATATTTCCTTGTGCACACATGCATTAATAAACAATTTTATTTTTATTATGTGATACTGGGTTTCACTGAGGGTCACTGAACCCAGTACCTCACACATCAAAGTAGTCTACCATTGAGCTAAATGTCCAGTCCTCTATTATACTATCCTAATCTATTAAGCATAGATTATTATGCTTCCACAGAAATTTTTGTTTATATGGGAATTTCAGTTACATGACTTAATGTTAAGTGAAAAAGCAAGATACAAAATTGTATACAAAGAGCTGGTATAGAATTACAAACCTGTAATTTCAGTACTTAGGAGGCAGGAGGCTCATGAGTCTGAGGCAAGACTCTATCTCATAAAACAAAACAAAACTGTCAGGCATGTTGGTGTATGCCTGTGATCCCACAGCACTCAGAAAGTGGGAACATTCTATAGAAGAGCAAGGAGGAAAAAAACTCTCTTTCTAAACTGAGCATGGATTATAGGTATATCCCTATAATCCTAGCACTTAGGAGTTTGAAGCAGGAGGATTACAAGTTTGAGGCCAGCCTGGACTATCTCAAAAGAAAAAAAATCTGTAATAGGACTGGGGTGTATGTAGCATGTACAAAGATTCAAAAAAAAAAAAGAGATGAAACATTTATTTTCATAAAGCTGGGCATGGAAATACACCTCTGTTACAGCTGAGGTAGAGGAATCACAAGTAGCCAGTCTAGGCTACAGGGTGAGACCCCATTTCAAAACTTTAACACCACCCACCCCAAACAAAAGTGAAAAGGTATTGGACCATCACTGGTACAAACTTTTAAAGGTTCAAGAGGCTCCTGTGGGGTGGGGGTGTGGTGATACTAGGATCAACCCAGGGCTCTGGGCAGGAAGGTACTCTAATTACTTATTACTATTACCTTTTATAGCCCCTTTTATCACTATCTTAAGATGTTTATTAACTCTTTATAGACTTTTGTCTTTAAAAATAAATATGGCCCCAGACTTGGTAGCACAGTAACTCAGCTTAGGAGGTTTAGGCGGAAGGATCAAAAATTCAAGGCCTGCTGGAGTACAGAGTAAGTTAAAAGCCAGAATGGGCAACTTGGTAAGACTGTCTCAAAATAAAAAGAAAAAAAAGGGGTGGGGCTGGAGAACAGTTCAGCGGCAGAAAGCTTAGATAGCATGAGAGAGGCCCTATGTTCAATCCCTAAACTGCAAAAAATATTAATAATGATAAAATTAAAAAATTGTAAAAAGCATGACACAGAGGAGTTTGATGACCCTGGGTTTCTGCCACTTATTCTGTAAGTTTGGACAAGTTATTTTCTCTCTGAGCCTTTGTTTCACTTATTTGAGAAACCAGGTCATTACCTTCCTTACAAGATAGTTATAAGAACCAGAGAAAACAGAGAAAACAACAAGGTGCTAGTCCCTACTCTTTGCAAGTTCTACACAGTTTCCACTCCCACAGAGCTATGCTTAGCTTTGTGAGTCACAACTTCCCTTTCTGAATGAGCATTGTTCCTTGAAGACATTAAAAGAACTCTCTGTCTAGTGCTGAGAGAAATCTAGTATGGGGCAGTCTGATTCAGACAAGTCAGATTTCTATCTCAGATGTCCACATTTGGTCCTTGTATTTCTTATCACTACCAGTAACTTTAGCTAATACTCTATGCTTTCTATGTAAATTACCTCATTTGATCCTCACAGACTGCCTGGAGACAAACACTAATACTGTTAGCATTCCCAGGAATGTTGAACTAGGCTCAAAGTAGTTAAGTCACTTGCCCATAGTCATAGAGCCAGTCAGAGGCAAAGCTTCCCAATCCCAAGCCATGTGCTTTACACATGGTACCTCAGTGATCCATTCTTGTTTCCTTACATCCTGCCCCAGCTTCTGGGAGCCTTACTCAGCACAGGGCTGGACACCTCAGGAGCACCTCATAACTGTGGACAGGTTGCCAGTCAAGATGCCCAAGAGCATGTAAAATTACACAACTCAACACAAATCAATCTAGTCTACTAAAGCTTTGGAAAATTGGTGTTCTACACAAGAACAGCGGTTGTTTTTCAGACCTAGAAATGTTATATTCAGTACTTGTTTTTTTTTTAAATATTTTATTTATTTTTATTTTACGTGTATGAGTGTATTGCCTGCATGTATGTGAGTGTACCAGTGGTGTGCAATGCTGCGGAGGTCAGAAGAGGGCTTCAGATTTCCCTGGAACTGGAGTTAAGGACAGTTTGTAGCTGCCGTGTAGGTACTGGAAATCAAACCCAGTTTCTCTGCAAGAGCAATCAGTGCTCTTAACCACTGAGCCATCTCTCCAGTCCCTCAGTACTTGTTTTTAAGCACTGCTTCAAACTTTTTTGTAGGGGTGGAAGGTCCTGGGATGGAACCCAGGACCTCACAAATGTTAGGCAAGTACTATCATCACAAAGCTGCACTCCCAGCCTTGGTCCAAACTCTGAAGTAAATGGAGGCAGGGTGGGGATCAGGGCTCTGCAACCAGAAAACAGTCCAGGTTGGCATCTGTGTCTATTCGTATGTGCACACGTGCATGTATATGTGTATATTAATACAAAAGACTGATTATACACGGTTTATTGTCCACTCTAGCAAAACACACCTCCTAAGTTCAACAGCAAAGTTGCCAGGGAAAAGATATCAAATAACGTATGTGAATGAATAACAGGAATTTGCCAATTTTAACTCAAACCAGTATAGCTGGGAAATATTCAGAACTATTTGGATTGGGACAGATTCTAGTTAAGGGCTGCTGATTTCTAATAATACAGTGAACTTGGGCCAGAGGACTTGGGTTGAGGCTCATCTCTGTCACTCAGAAAGCCATAATCTCTCACTTGCAAACAGGGATTATGGTGCCTGACCTCCTTTTGCTGTGAAAAAGTTTACAAAATAAGTGAGTGTTTTGCTTCTGTTGCCATGAGTCAGTAATTCAGATTTTACCTGGGGTTAGCAAGAACTCTAAAATACTCTGAGGATAAAAAACACTGACAAGAATGAACCAATCCAGGAGAAAACTTTCTACAAGTGTTTAATAACATTCAGAGAATACCTGACAAATAATGATCTTATTTCTTTTTTCAATAAAAGTTCCTGGAGAGGAGCACCTGTGGTCAAAAACAATAAAGCCAGGGATGGGGAGACAGCTTGGTTGGCAAAGTGCTTGCCTTGCAAGCATGAGGAACCGAGTTAAATCCTCAGAACCTACATCAAAACAAACAAGCAAAACAACTAGATGGTGGTGCATGCTTGTAATTACCCAGCACTGGGAATGCAAGACAGAGGTACACATACACCAAATAAAGTCAAAGTGGTATCATTTTGAAAAAGCTATAATATCAACTTAAAAAAATTTTTTTAAATATTTTATTTATTATTTTATGTATACGAGTGCATTGCGTGCATGTACATAAGTGCACCTGTGTCACGCAATGCCCATGGAGGTCAGAAGAGGGTTTCGGATCCCCTTGAACTGGAGTTATAGATGGTTATTAGCTGTCATGTGGGTGCTTGGAACTGAACCTGGATCCTCTGCAAAAGCAGCCAGTGCTCTTAATTGCTGAGTCATCTCTCCAGCCCCAATATAATACCAACTTTTTTTTTTTTTTTTTTTGGTTTTTTTGAGACAGGGTCTCCCTGTAGCCCCAGCTGTCCTGGAACTTGCTATGTGGACCAGGCTGGCCTGGAACTCACAGAGATCTGCCTGCCTCTGCCTCCCAAGTGCTGGGATTAAAGGCGTGCACCACCACGCCCGGTGTAATACCAACTTTTACAAATTGGGCCTGTGTTCTAAAGTATCTTCCATCAACTGTGTTAACTACAAGGGAAGTTTGTCAAACATTTAGAGAATGCCAAATATTAGACTCAATGACAAAAATAGACCTAAATAAATAAATAAATAAATAAATAAATAAATAAATAAATAAATAAACAACAGAACCAACCAAACAACCAACCAACCAACCAACCAACCAACCAACCAACCAACCAACCAGACAAGGTCTGCTTCCTGCCCCAAGGAATCTATGGCCAAGTCAGAATTAAACTGTTACTTAACAATAACAAAACTTCTCACATTGTGATGTATCCTGGCAGAGGTCATAGTGTTAAGAAAAAAACAGGAACTTTTCCTGGGCTTACCTGGGATCCACTTTCACATTCAAAGAACTACCCCATCTTTAAAAACCAGATGGTTCCGTGGTTAAGAGCACTGGCTGCTCTTGCAGAGGACCAGTTCCCAGAACCTACGTGGTGGCTAATAACCATCCATATCTCCAGTTCCAGGGCTCCAATGCCCTCTTCTGACCTCTAAGGTCATTGCGTGCACATAGTACACTTACATACATGCAGGCAAAACACTCATACACATATATTAAAAACAAACAAAAAAACACATGCCTGCATCACAATTGGGAGAGAGCATATTAACCTTTCGGGGGCTGCAGAGAGCACCAAGGGAATCACCCCGGCAACTGGTCCTAGAACGGAATAGCCAGCAAGTCCCCTAGGTCATTTCCGCAGGAGGGAACTCAGCTCTGGTCAATAACCATAGAAGTGCTGCTTCAGCCTGTCCCAAGGCCACCTGAAAGACAAGGGCCAACCGCTCAAGTACTGTGTGTGAGCCAACGAAATGAAGAGATGGACCCACATCTTATCCAACAGACACAGAACGTAGAGACATAGGGTCCTGACAACCAGACAGCAATTAAGGTCAGTAAGGGTCAGTAGCAATCTTCTCCAAAGATGGACAAATAGCCAATAAACATGAAAAGATACTCAACATCACTCATCACCAGGAAAATGAAAACTGAAACTATGGAGACTATACATTCTGAGAGGTAGGATGCCCACTTTTTATATAGCAAACAAAAGAAAAGCGAAAAGGAAACAGGGAAAGGGAGCACATGTAAGCAGTTACACAGTACTGGGAGGTGCAGATCAGGAGCTACTTGCCTGACATGCATAAAGCCCTGGTTCAATCCAGCATAGGAGTTGGAGAAAGAAGTACCACAAGATGTAGGAATTCCACCTCTGGGAATATACCCAAAGAGCTGAAAGCAGGGTCTTAAAGAGATGTTTTTTGTTTGTTTTTTGAGGCAGGGTTCTTGTAGCCCAAGCTGGCACTGAACTCACTTGTAGTCAAGGATGACCTTGTACTCCTGATTTTCCTGCCTCTACCTCCCAAGTGCTGGTAGTAAGATGAGAGCTACCATAGATACCTAGCTTATTTTGTTCTTTCTACATTGTCTCACACTATAGGCTGGCCTAGAATTTATCATGCAGCCCAGGATGGCCTCAAACTTGCCATAATTCTCCTATCTCAGCCTTCTGAGTTCTGGGATTACAGGCATGAATCACCACACCTGGCTCAAAGATACTTATATATCTATGTTCACAAGATCTTTGTTCACAATAGCTAAAACATGGAAGTAACCCAAGTGTCCATTGTCAGATGAATGGTTCATCAAATGTGGTTTTTATACAAAATGGGATCTATTTAGTCTTAAAAAGGAAGAAAATTCAGCCGGGCTTGGTGGCACACACCACTGATCCTAGCAGAGGAGGCAGAGGCAGGCGGATCTCTTTGAGTTCAAGGCCAGCTTGGTCCACATAGTGAGTTCCAGGACAGCTAAGGCTACAGGGAGACCCTGTCTCAAAAAGACAAAAAGGAACTAAAGACCCTGTCTAAAAAAAAAAAAAAAAAAAAAAAAAAAAAAGAAGAAAATTCTGATACACGCTATAACACGAACCTCAAGGATAATATGCTAAGTGAAATAAACAGCACAAAACAACAAAGAGTTCTGAAGATAAAAGGTGATGATGTGTCTGTGTTATGAATGTTCTTAACACCACTGAATTGTACACTTAAAATGGGACTGGAGAGATGGCTCCACGGTTAAGAGCATTTATTGCTCTTCCAGAGGACCTGACTTCAGTTCCCAATACCCATGTCAGACAGCTTACAACTGCTTGTAACACCAGTTCTTGAGGGCACCTGCATACATGTGGCATACTCAGATATATATACATGAATAAAAATAAGTTTTTAAAAATAATGGTTAAGATAAATTTTATATAATGTGTATTTTAGCACAATTTAAAAGAATTTGGGCTAGGGATATAGCTTGATTGGTAGAGTGTCTGCCTAGCATGTGCAAGGTCCTGGGTTTAATCCCCAGCACTGCATAAACCAGGAATGGTGGTACATGTCTGTGATTCTAGCACTCAGGGGTTTGAGGCCAGCCTATCTCAAAAAGAGGGAAAAATCCTTATATTTCCATGAAATGTCATATATTGTTTGAGTAGGAAATACCTAGAATAACAAAATTTATAGAGCCAGGATATTGAAGTTACTAGGATTCTGAGGGAGGGAAAAGCGGGGAGTTACTATACAATGAGTAAAATTTCTGTTTGGGGTGAAGTTGCAGAGATATACAGTGGTGACTATCACATAATGTTGCAAATGTAATTAATCAACTGAACACTTCAAAGTGAGTAAAATGGTTAAATTTTATAAATGCCTGTGGAGGTCAGAAGAGGGGGTCAGATTCCTCTGGAACTGGAGTTATGGACAGCTGTTAGCCATCATGTGGGTGCTGGGAATCAAACCTGGGTCCTTTGCAAGAGTAGCCAGTGCTCTTAACTACTGAGCCATCTTTCTGGTCCCCCCCGCCCCAAAAAATTTTATATCATCTATCTGTCTGTCTATCTATCATCTATCTAATATTTTTTTTTAACCACAACAAAAAGTTTTTTTTATAAAAATCTGTTCTTCAGGGCTGGAGAGATGGCTCAGCGGTTAAGAACACTGGTTGTTTTTGCAGAAGACCCGGGTTCGAATCCCGGCACCCAAATGGCAGCTAACAACTGTCTGTAACTCCAGTTCCAGGGGATCTGACAGCCTCTTCTGTCCTCCAAGGGCAGTGTATGACACGGGTGCACTTACCTACACGCAGGCAATATATGCATACACATTAAATAAAAATAATAAAATATTTTTAAAAATTAAAAAAAAAATCTGTTCTTGATGCTAAAGGGATGTTAGGAGTACATACTACTCTTGCAAAAGACCTGAGTTCAGTTTCCAGGATCCCTGTCCAGCAATTCACAACCAACCAACTGCCAAATCTATACCTCTGGTCTCCATGGATAGTGTACTCATGTGCATATACCTTTCAAATACACATACATGTATAATTAAAAATAATAATAAATTTTAAAAAATCTGTTCTGTCAGGTATGGTGGAGCAAACCTGTAATCCTAGCACTTGGGAGGTAGAGGCAGGAGGATAAGGAATTCAAAGACATCCTTGGCTTGCCTATCTATCTATCTATCTATCTATCTATCTATCTATCTATCTATCTTCATCTACCTATCTATCATCTATCATCATCATCTATCTATCTATCTATCATCTATCTATCATCCATCTATGTATCATCTATCTATCTATCTATCTATCTATCTATGTATCTATCTATCTATCTGTCTGTCTATCTATCTATCTATGTATATATCTTCTATCTATCTATCTATCTATCTACCTATCTATCTATCTATATATCTATCTATCGGTCTTTTTGAGACAAAGTCTCCCTGTAGGTCCAGCTGGTCTTGAACACACAGAGATCCACCTGTCTCTGCTTTCCTAGTGCTGGGATTAAAGGTGTGTACCACCACACCTGGCCTCCCTTAGCTATATTTTTAAAGACAATCTTCTCATCAACAAACCCAAACTACATTTCTGCCTCACCAAGAACATGCTGAGTGGTTATGAATATATTATGTCTGCATAGTAAAGTGCACTGGCTTACTGGCTTTATTAAGTAAAAACAAATGGTTAAGGAAATTGAAATTCAAACAGACATTATAAGTAACGCTTGCAAAGAAGATGGCAAGAACATGCAGACATTGACATCAAAATGTTAAGAGGCTGCCTGGTGGTGGTGATGGGAGGTACCTGAGTCCCAGCTACTTGGGAGACTAAAGCAGAAGGATCAGTTGAACTCAGGAATTTGAGACTGGCCTGCCCAACAAGCCTTGTAACAATAATAATAGGAAAAAAAAACAATGTATAGAACTATGAGAGCAATTGAGTCAACCATTAAAAATATATCCAATGGCAGGCACTAAGCGTTTGCTCCATGTCCACGATAACCTGAGTTTGAATCCCCAGAACCCATTTGGTGGCATAGGTGTCCACAATCCTAGTACTCCTACAGGGAGATGGCAGGCAGACAGAATTCCGGAAGCTTGTGGGCCTTCTAGACTGGTAAACACAGTGGAAAAAGAACAAAGAGACCCAGCCTCAAACAAGGTGTAAGGTGAGGACCAACACTTGAGGATGCCCTTTCACCCCCACATGCTTAATGCAGCATGTGTACATACACACATAGATACACACACACACACACAATGTACCCAGTTTCAAGAAAGAAGGAAATACAGCAACTGTAACAAAGGTTCTCTTTAGATAATGAGAGAGAGAGAGAAAGAGAGAGAGAGATGTGATAAGAGAGAGGGAGGCTTTTCTACACTTTCTAAAATATTTTATGTGAACTGAGCAATCTTTAACAATTTAAATGCCTGAGGTGTTTGTTTTATAGTATGCTCAAGATGATGTGGTTACAGCCAAAAGCTGTGGGGTCAGAAGAAGCCTGATGAATAGCAGTTCTATAACCCCACATCTAGCACTAGTCCTAAGTATGCCACACTTCCGTACTACCATGCACTCTTCTGCTCTCTACCTGTAAACAGGCAAATACCAGAGTAGCTCCCAAACAGGATTCCCAAATGCTCTTACCACATCTTGGTTGATGCTGTAGTTTCCATACTCTTTCATTTAAACATGGTTACTAATGTTCAGCGGTGGCTAGAGTTGTATCAAGCTCTGCATAATCAGCAGTCTAAAATGGACTGTGCTTCAGCATGTCCAAATCCAACTCCATCCAGCTGAGGAAATAACTGGTATGCCCTCATTCTGCCATTCAGCTCACTCTGAGCTAGGTACTTCCAGGGCTTCAGGGAATTTACAAACAATTGGAATATTTATATTCAAAATTGTACATGTGGAAAAAATAACCAAATTACAAAATGGGCAGGAACTGAACAGGTATTTCTTCCAATAAAATGTACAGATTAATGGGCTGGTGAGATGGCTCAGTAGGCAAAGATGCTTGCTGAAAGCCTAACAACTTGAGTTCAGTTCCCAGGATCCACATGGTAGAAGGAGAGAACCTACTCCTACAAATTGTCTGATCTACACACATAGGCCAACTGGGTTCAGATCCCAGCACCTACATGGTAGCTAAGAACTGTCCATAATTCCAGTTCCAGGGGTCCTATGCCTCCTGCTGGTCTCCTCAGGCACTAGGCATGCATGTGGTACACTTACATATATACAGAAAAAAACACTCATATACATAAAATTAAAATAAATAATTATCCAAGCTGGATGTGCATGGTATCCAGAATATGCAAACTGAAAGACAGAAAAATTAGTGCTTGTTAGAAGATGGAAAGAAAGGGAGAAGAGAATAACTGTTAACTGTACAGGGTTTCTTTGAAGGGGTAATGAAAAATGAAAATGTTTTTGAATTATATATGCTAATGACTGTATAGTCTTATAAATATATAAAAATCCATTGAATTACAAACTTTAAAAGGGTGAATTTTATGGTATGTGAATTATATCTCAAAAAATGTTTGAGATATTCTACAAAATAATTAGCCAGCCCTATTCAAAAGTTTATAGTTATACAGAGTGGTGCCTGCCTGTGACACCAGTTGCTCAGGGGGATGAGGTATGAAAACTGTCAGCTCAAGGATGTCAGGGACAATTTAGTAAGTCGCTCATCTTGAATTGAAAAAAAAAAAAGATTATAGTCGTAAAAGATATTGAGAAACTGTCTCAGATTAGAAGAGACTAAGGAGACTTGAACCGTGATCTGAGATCCTGGGTTGAGTCCCAGAACAGAAAAGGTATTGGGACAAATGGAAAAATTTGGATAAAGTATAAAAATATGTGTCAGAAGTTGGCAATTTTTTTTCCTCTAAAGAAGTCAAAAATTTTCTATAAGTGGGGGTCAACAGAATTGGGTCATTTTGTGAAACTTCTGCTCCACAGGACTTATTAGGCAGACTTCGTGGGCGACATGGTTTTTGTGGTAACTGTCCCACTCCATGTTGTAGTAAAGAAGCCACAGGCAATACATGGGTGTGACTGAATGGAACCTTGGGGAGCTGGCTCAGCTGGTAAAGTGCTTGCTGTACACACACGGTGTTCTGAGTTCGGATCCCCAGCATCTGGGTGAAAGTTGAATGCTTGTAGCACATATCTATGACCCCAGTGCTGGGGGAAGGGACAGGCAGATCTTTCAGCTAGCCAGTATAGCTAAAAAACACAAGCTCCAGGTTCAGTGAGAGACAGCTTCTCAAAATAAATAAATAAATAAATAAATAAATAAATAAATAAATAAATAAATAAATAAAGTAAATGAGGCAGTAAGCAATAGACATCTGACATGGACCTCTGGTCTCCACACCCATATACAAGTGAGCACAACTGTACACACATGTACACACACACATATACACCCACACACACAAGAAATGTAAACCACCAGGCATAATAGTACATGCCTGCAATCTCAGCACTTGGGAAGCTGGGGCAGAGTTGCACCACAAGTTTGCAAGTTTGAGGTTAGCCTGAGCTGCAATTTGAGACAGTTTCAAAACAAAACAAAACCAAGAAAAATAGAAGGAAAAAAAGAAAACAGTCAGCTACGTAAAAATATGCAGCAGGGCTAGATTTGACCCACAGGCCAAAGTTTCTAGGTCAGAATTTGCCAATGTGTTCTTCAATTTAAAAATACATAAAAATAGCCAGGCGTGGTGGCACATGCCTTTAATCCCAGCACTTGGGAGGCAGAGGCAGGTGGATCTCTGTGAGTTCAAGGCCAGCCTGGTCTAAATAGTGAGTTCCAGGACAGCTGGGGCTACAGGGAGACCCTGTCTCAAAAAGACCAAAAAAAAAAAAAAAAACCAAAAAAAAAAAACCCCATAAAAATAACCCTGTGGGATGGCATACACCAGTAATCACAGTACTTGGGAGGCTGAAGCAGGAGGATTGAAAATTTGAGACTGCCCTGGGCAAGGCCCTGTCTTAAAAATAAAGAGGTTTCACATCAAATAAGTTTGGCAACATTAAACAAACAAAACATGTTATTACCCTAGCTTATAAAGCCACTTCTTTACTGTGGGACCTCTCTGCCTTTAATGTGGTAACATGTGAAGACACCCTAGAAAAGGACGGTGCTAAGTACCTTTTCCCAAACTTATTCTTACAATCAAACCCCTTTTCTAAAGGTATCTCCTCAGACTGGTGGCTGGCAGTATACATTTTTTAAGACATCAAATTAATTAAAGAATTTTTAAAAAATAAAACTCCCACATTAAGAAGTTTTAAAAACTCCAACAAATTGGGGCTGGAGAGATGGCTCAATGGTTAAGAGCACTGATTGCTCTTGCAGAGGACCTGGGTTCAATTCCCAGCACCCACATGGCAGCTAACACCTGCTCGTAAGTACAGTTCCAGAGAATGTGACACCCTCTTCTGAGGGTGGGCACCGTACAACACAGATGCACTTACGAACAATACATACAAGACAATATACTACATTAAAAAAAAAAATTTTAAACTCCAACAAATTAAGAGCATTTTTCCCAGCAGTAGATAACAACCAAGTTGAAGGCTATACTACCTTAAATATGCCTGATCTTGTCAGATAACATCCAAAACATTTCACAATTATATATTTTTTTTAATCTTGAGGAAAAATAAACAAGCAGAAAAACAGGCAGCAACTTTTGGCTCAACCCCAACTTTTTGTTTTGGGGAGGAGTGTCAACAGAATTGGGTCGTAATATGGAAGCTCTGCTTCTCAAGACAACATAAGCATTCTGGAGTGTTCCAATAGGAGTTGAAAAGTGATCTTTTTGAGGTTTCTGAAAGTGTCAAAGAAAGAAATCTGATGTTTGATCAGAAAAACTACAGTTTTGCTTGAATGATCATTTGGAAAGATAAATTGGCAAATCAAGACCATAAAAAGGCTGCTCACATATGCTGGATGAAAAACTAGCATATAGGCCTACAAAAATTCTCTCATCTATATACACACTGCTAAAGATTAAAGATCAATTTATAAATCAGGGAGAAGACTGGCCTGATCAACTTCAAATACCACCCCTCTCTATGATCCAGAGTTCACTGCCAAGCAGGGCCTGGTTCCACATATGTAATTCCAGCACTTGGGAGGCTGAGGCAAGATCACGAACTTGACATCAGCCTGGACTGCATAGTAGCACTCTGCCAAAAAGAGTTCATTGGCTTCCTCTGGTCACAGTTTTCAGAGGTTTTCTAAATTGTTCTTGGAAAATAAAGTACTAATGCCAGACATGGTGATTCCCACCTGTAAATCCAGCACTTGGGATTGGGAGGCTGAAGTATGAAGATCACTGTGAGTTCCTGGCCAGCCTGGGCTACAGAGTGAGCCACTGACAAATAAATAGATAGCAAAATTTTAAAATTGCTAACCAATGAAATGGGTCCTTGTTTATTCATACAACAAACATTTCAGCTACCTTTATCAGATGCTGGGTCATTCCAAAGTCCTTGAAACTAAGGATGGACACATGACAACCAGGAAGAGATTACATAAGATCAAGTGTGCTGGCCTTACAGGTGTAGGCTAGGGAGATGGAAGCCCCAAGAAAAGAAAGCAGGGAAAGAAATATCATATTAAATGAACACAGCGGTGCACACCTGTAATCCCAGTACTCAAAAGGCTGAGGCAGGAGGATCAGGAGTTCAAGGCCTACCTGGACTACAAGGGAGGTCTGAAGCCAGCCTGGGATACAGATACACACGACTTGTCTCAAAGAAAAACGAAGGAAATGTCACATTGACCCTAAGGGCAGAATCAGCAAGGGAAACTAAGTACTCAAGTAACTACTTAGAGTCATGAGATTTTTCAAGTTGGAAAGGATTTCCATCTAATACCTGTACACATCCTTCCACAAAGAGGCAATCCATCCCATCAGCGGTCATCTCCAGTGATTCTTCCATGAAGTTCTTATATTCTGGAAAATTTTATCTTCCTGTAGAATCCACCTATTAATCCCAGTTCTGCCTCTTTCCACCCCAAAGATTAAGTGGAAACCTTCTTTGTCATAACTTTTTTTTTCTTTCCGTTTTTAAAGACAGTTATTCTTCCAGTGTTTTCTCCTAAGCTAGACAGTTCAAAAAACTGAACCGGCTCTAGTAGCCTCCAAGCGAGTAAAACATTCAGAGCGGGGAAAGCACTTAAGAATAGGCTCCACACGTCAGAAGGTCTAGGACTCCCGAGAAGAACTTTCAAAAGGTTTCCCAGGTTCCAAACCCAGATTCTAACACCAGCTGTTTGGAGTCTAGGACCGAAAGGCCATCATCCCAGGGGATATCAAAGCAGGTGGGGGCGGGGACCGGATTTGGAGAAGCAGTACCCGGTTTTACAAACGAAACCATGCTCGGCAAGGGAAGGGATGTGGCCTGGAACACCACTGGCTGTAGGTGGAGGAGTCTCGGGGCCAGGCCTCCGACTTTTCACCCCAAATCTGTTCGTCACACCCCACCCCCCACCCCCGCCCCGTCCACTCGGGAAAACTCGTTCAATGCACACTACCCCGCACCGGGAGAGAGTCGGTGAGCTCCTGTCCAGGAAGCAGCCCGTGGGCGCCCTTCCCGGACTTAAGGACTCAGTTTCCCCAATCTGTACTCACAGGCCAACACCAGCCTGGCCTTTTTTTCGGGGAACCGGGCTTGTGGTCCCTGAGCCCCGGGATGGCGGACGCATCTCCGCCCCTTCCCGCGGCCTCCTCGGCCCCCAGCTCGTCATTCACCTGTCGTGGTACCGCCGTCGCCGCCACCTGTCTGTCCCTCTGTCAGTGGACAAGCCAGCCTTGGAGACGCGTCAGTCAGAAAGATTGAGCAGACGACCCTCCCACCCGGACGCCGGTCACCTGACGCAAAGCCACCCCTCTCAGAGCAACTTCCGGCTATAACCGGAAAAGGCTGGTCCTCTGCGCTGTGCTCCGGGCCAGGGGCCTGGCTCAAAGGTTCCGGCTGCCGGCAGGAAGCGGAGACAGGCTTGAGGCCTCTTGGAAGCATTTCAAGTATGCGGAGGCCAGAGATGGTGTTCGGCTGGTGGAGTGCTTGCCTCCCATGTCTGAGGCTGGGTTCGAGCCCCAGCATCGCATAAACCGTGTGTGTAATGTGCCAGTAATCCCAGCACTCACTTGGGGGGCAGATCAGAATTTCAAGGTCGTTTTCGAAGTATGGGATACTGTTATAGAAATGGAAGAGCAGGTCAGAGCCTAAAAGCTTTTGCAGTGTGATGGTAGTTAAGAACTTTGGAGCAGGAAAACTGAGAGAAGAGATATGTATCGGGGAGGTGAGCAGGAGTCTACCTCCTACCCTGTTGGTTGCCCAGGATGGAAGTTTCTGTTTTCCAAAGCTTTCACATTCCCGTAATCTTTGCTGCTATATGTTATCTTTCCTAATTACCAAGTATATGCTATGTACCTTTTGCTTACCTTCCTCACATGAGTATAAAAGCCCTCCAAAACTTGAACAAGGGGTCTGACTCTTTTTATCTCCTCACCTGACTTCGGCTGTTGGTCTCTGATTTTTCCGTAACAATACATGAGACATTTTATATATATATATATGGAAAAAGATTATGGGGGCTGCCCTGAACAAAGCCAGTTCCGGAAATACCAGCTTGGAATGCCTTGTTGCACTGGGATGTAAGGATGATGGTGATGGGTGGGAATGTGTAAACGGATACAGGAGTACCTTGAAGACCCTACCAGCAAATCCATGCAATTAAAATAATAAAGATAGCAAGAGTATAACTAATCAGAGCCAGTGAAATGGCTCAAAGGGTAAAGGCGCTTGCAGCCAACCTAACAACCTGAGTTCAATCTCTGGGACCCACATGGTAGGAGAGAACTGAGCTGGCAAGTTGTCTTTTGACCTCTAAACCTCCACACATGTGCACACACAGTAAATAAATAAATTTTTTTTTAAGTTTAACCGATTGAATGAAATGGTGATCCATGAGGGATTTTTTTTTAACAGTAGTGAATACATTTATTATAAAAATAAGTGACTAGGATATAAATGTTATTTAAGTATATAACAAACACGATTGCAGTGCAATAATGTTCAGTGCTGTGACTGCCTCTACAGTGCTGTGCAACTGTGCAAAGAGGAGAGACACCTCCTTCTGTAGAACAGGATGGGACTTGCATCCTGGGGACTACACACGTGGCTCCCACCAAGCAGTAGCAGTAGCATCCCAGGTGCAAGCTGAGGTGGGGTGGGGCTGGCATACTGGCCTCAAAGTATCCTTGGCACTGAATGGCTTTCCGTTCCACTTGACCCATATTCCATAAGAAAGACAAGACTGCACCCCTCTCCCCAGTGTTCTTGACCTTGTCTCTATCTCCAACTCCACTTGTGGCTTCCTCTAATCCAGAGAGGACCAAAATAATTTAGAAATGGACTCAAAAGGAAGCTCAATGTTTCATTAGAGTTTAAGAGAAAAAGAGTATGGGTTGGATGAAAATCCTGCAGCTGCCAGGAAGAGAGGTGGAGTAATGTTCAGGCCTTTTAAGATGAGCATGGAATAGAAATAGATGACTTATTAAATAGTGGGGGACTCTTCCAAGCATGGAAATGGGCTAGTAAGCTAAGGAATGAACCCCAGAACATCTGGTACTCAGGTGTATGGTCTTTTCCTCCTGTTTGTATGTCAAGGGTTTTGTTTTGCTCATATGCTGTTCTTTAGAATGCGTAGGAAGTGCTTCAGTCTTCCTCTGCAAACTAGCTGCTTTCACAAGTTCATCTTGCTATAGCTTTCTTTAGTCCTCTCTCATCACACTATTGTAGGAGCCATAGATCCTTCAGTTTAACCTGCTGAGTCAGGGACCTGTCCTCCAGGGCTGCTGTGCTGGGCAGGGCCCACAAGGGCACAATAACCTGGCTTGCTGACAGTACTCAGTTAGACTTGTATTGCACCCAGGGGACTTCTCGCCTTGGTGGTCACTGAAGTATTGCAGGCAGTGAAAGTACTGATGGTCACCATGGCCTATCTGGACTGTACCATGTTCCTATCCTCTACAAGAAGTTCCAGCTGTTAGTGTAGGCTTCCATCTACTGGGCACCACAAGCTCCAGTCCTTTGGTCTCATAAGTACTTGGCAGTTTTGCTCCCAGTATGAATCTGGCAATGTGGCCTGGCCTTCAGCAGTCCTATCTCTGAGATACCTGGTGTACAAGGAAATAACCTTTTGCTCTCTTCTAGAATCTGACTTTAAGCCTGTTTCTGATCTGCCTTTTCTTCAGCACCTACACTTGCTCTAGGTTAGTGGCCTAGAGCCACTAGCTCCTGCTTCACTTCTGCACAGTTGTTTATTTTCTCCTCCAACTGTCTACTGAGCCTGGAGTACAGCAGGCTCATAGAGGACCTGCAGCCCTCTGAGTGGCCTAAGGATCTCTCTCATCCTGGTTGCCATCAATAGCACTGCCACTTAGCATTGAGGTTTTCCACATGAGTTGCCTTGTATTTCAACTGTCAGTTTTCTTCCTGCAACTTCACAATAACAGCCTGACCAGAGATGTCCCCTCCTGTACACTAGCTCATTGGGACTTTTTCCCTGCTCCCCCTTTGCAAGCTCTCATTCATTCAGACACTTAGCAGTGGTGGTCAGTGTCTTCTGCAGAGGCTAGACTGTTCTCACCTCCATACTCCTGACTCTCCTATGGCTAAGGAGTGGTACAGACCATTACTGAGAGTTCAAGCCGCTCCTCTGTCTTCACCATGCTCCCCTGTGGGGGCTTGCCCCCTTCTCTCCCTAGTGCTGCGAATGGTTCATCAGCTGCATCTTCCTCTTTTTCTTCTAGTAAGCCTTAGTCATTCTCATAATATTGATTTCAGAGATTTCAGTCCATCGGTGGCCAGGAAACAGAGAAAGAATCCATGACTTTTATTGCCATAGAGAAGTGGATAAATGGGCTCATTGGTAAAGTGCTTGCTGTGAAGCACAAAGAATTGAGTTCAATCTTCAGCATCCATGAAAAGAGGTGTAGTGACTCATGCTTGTAATACCAGCACTGGGGAGGCAGAGATAGGCCGATCCCTGGAGCTTGCAGACCAGCCAACCTAGCCTAATTGACCTTCCCCAGTTCCACTGAGAGGGCCTCTGTTTCAAAAAATAATAAGGGCTGGTGAGATGGCTGTGTGAGCAAAATCACGTGCTATGCAAGCCTTGGAAACTTGTCCTCTGATCTCCACACGAGCCATTGCACAATCTCTCTCTCTCTCTCTCTCTCTCTCTCTCTCTCTCTCTCTCTC